GAATGACAGGAAAGTATCCGTCCCCTGAAGCTTGAAAGGGAGCTCTAAATGGCAGTTTCTGTGAGACAATACTAGCCAAGCCGGAATAATACGTATACGCAAATTACGCCGTAGCGTAGGGCCCCCAGCTGGGGTTGCAACCACCCCGAAATGCACTTTAGCTCCCCCACAGCCCTCGCACCTAATTAACAGTGCTTAATGTTTAAACCGACTCACTTCCTAAATAATACAGTTTTTTTTTGTCGAATCCACCTTCAGGAAGAGGCTGCCCCCCATGCCTTCACCTTGATGTAAATTGAGAAACGGCAAGGTATTGGAGAACATTTCGAATTAAAGCTGACACATGTTAAACATGATTGCGAAAATGATAAGCGAACCTAATAATATGTTGTTTGGTAGCTCACGACGTCTTATGGCTAAAAGCAATGTAGCGACAGGGTCGGTGCTAGTCCATTGGTGTACCTAAAAAGGAATATTTTTGGACCCCTCACCCACCCCTTAAAAAAAAAAAATGCTCCTTTAAGTATTTACCCAAACCAAAAATAAACCAACATTTGTACTTGCACAACTATCACCGCTGTACCTGTTTCTTTCTCAAATCACACACTGTTGTATGTACTGCACTTAGCAACCAATCAGCGTACCCCTGACTGATAAGTGCCTTGCTGCTACAGTTTTAAAACGTCCATCCGTTACCGAGTGATGCATTTTTGGATCGCTTTTATTCAAAACTTCTTCCCCCCCCTTTTTTAAATGAGTAAAATACTAAAACAGACAAAAGTCAAAGTTCTGATGGGGGAGGGGATCCTCCTTCAGCTGATCGGTGTCCTAAGCAGTTGCTTAGTTATTCATCTTGTACCTAACGCTGAGACTTCGCTGCGTTAGTTACGGAATTGTTTTTTTGAGGGCGTTTTGTGCACGTTATACCTTATAAATGCTAATGTAGTAAACACGCTATAAATTCGCTCAAAACGCTATTTGTCGTGACTACATTTTCGTAGGTGTGCCGAAATATAGTGTGGAATTGTACTGTATTACGACTGGCCGCGTGACTCACGTCTCTGGAATTTCCTTGGTAAACATAAAACTTCCACGTGATCGTTTTTGCGGCATTTGAAATGTTGGGTTACACTTATAAGATTATACTTGTATTTGAATAGCTTCTTTCATTCTGTCGGTTAATAAAGTGATAAAAGTAACGAGTCATTGAAGTACAACGTCCAGCTTTCATTTCGTTCTTTTTCAGAATTAGTCGTTGTTCTTGACCTTGTTTATTGATTAAAGTGTGATAGTTTTACTACTAAATTTTAAATCTCGACTAAAAAAGCTGTAAATGAAGCTTTAATACTGAGATAATCGCACATCTTGAAGGTGAATAATGGCTGGAGACGGCTTGAATGGGTAATGAAGAAAAACTTTAATATAAGTTTAACATAGCAGCAAATGTACAACGTTTCGACAAGGTTTTATCATCATCAGCCGTCTCCAGCCATTATTAGTCTCAAAGTGGGTTCCTCGTAACCGAATCTTGAAGGTGAGTTTATTCATCTAGTATTTGTTTGTTTGTCTGTAGTTAAGCTCAAAATTACGCAATGGACTGTCTGTGCTCTGCCCACTACGGTTATCGAAACCTGGTTTCTAGCGTTGTAAGTCCGCAGACAACCAGTAACTACATACTGTTAAAACCGATTTTAGCAGAAATTGAATTTAAAAACAAGGGATACAATTACCCGTGAGGTGTTTTTGTGTACAAAACATGGCAACATATTGAGGTAGATTCTCAAACATTTTTCTTTTTTGTTTACTAACGTCATTAAACGTCGTTAGTCATACGCCATACGTTCGTGGGAAAAAGACCACCACACGAATTTGTTTCAGCGTCAGCAAACATAGGATGGCGATGATAGACCGTGGTCACGGTATGGCAGACAGTCGGAGTGTGAAATTGTGATATTTTTTTTTTATTCTTCTGAAGCACAGAAGTAAGTAGGTTATATATAACAACTGTTGCACATCCAGATGCGGTGCTAGGCCTTTTAATCGTTGGTAGCCAAGAAAGGAAGTTATTCTAATTGCCAAAGGAAGTAAGGAGAGGAAGAAGAAAAAAAGTCGTCAATAAGGGAAGAGACGCAGGAACATGCTTGATTGCTTTGGCTAATTACTGTTCTGCATCCTTGATGGAGTTTTACTACATTGTGGCCGTAAACCGACTAGAATAACAAAGGGTCGTGACACACTCGTGTGACCATGCGTTGGTATTATTAGGTTTTCACGATTCCTTTGTTGTTATGGTGAAAAGCACGTTAAACCATTGATTGCCTACTCCACTCTTACAAATCATGCGCGAGATGTTCGTGCAAGTGTAGATTTTTATCGTGTGTCGGCATAGATCGAATAAAACAGTGACCCCCGTGACTAGCATAGATCGAATAAAACAGTGACCCCGTGACTAGACAATTAAAACAGAAAATACGCACAACTGATACAGTGACTAGGAAAATGTTTTAATGGAAATGTGAAAAACGAATGAAGTGAAGGAGGTTTAGGGTACTATAGACCAGGAATTACTAGGCTGGGGATTGCACGAAAATGTTGGGGGGAGGAGACACCATAGCAAATACATAATCTATAGGTATGCGGGGGAGGGGGGGGGGCTTCAGTCAGGATGCGGAAGGTTCTGTAGGCCTTATGCTGAAAGTTTGGGAACCTCTGCCGTAAATCCAATTGACTGTGTTGGTTACTTGGTATTCAGGGAAGTTTATATCTTGTAAAAAAAATCATTGTAAGTGATTTTGAATAATATCGGTTACTGAATTTTAGGCTTTAAAGGCCATGTGGTACGTATAACTTCAGAATCTTAAATATTTTCCCAAATAAAAAATGACGACAAGGTTGTGAAATTTTAGATTATTCTAAACCTCCCTGATGTCTATCATAAGACAATGTTTTTTTTTCTAAACCTCCCTGATGTCTATCATAAGACAATGTTTTTTCTTCTAAACCTCCCTGATGTCTATCATAAGACAATGTTTTGTTTCTAAACCTCCCTGATGTCTGTCATAAGGCAATGTTTTT